GATCCCCTTTTGAGAAACCCTGGCCTGGAGGATGAAGCCAGCGCAGCTCGGAACCCTCAAGGATGGAGCTCCCACGTGATCCTACAGTCCTGACTCCCCACGGTGCTCCTGGTCCCTGCACACCAGCGGCACCACACCACCCGTGTTTCCAGAAGCTGAGAGTCTGGGTGCTGCCTCCCGGGCTTAGTTCTGCCGGGTAAGTCCTCCCCGATTCCTCCACAGCTCCTTCCAGCAAACTTGTCCCTGTTCTTTCAAGATTCAGCTCACAGCCACTCAGAGGGGACACCAGCGTCCTCTCCCCTGTAGGAACAACCCCTCCTTTCCTTGCCCCCTCCCCCCCGGGGACCTCTGCATGCTACCATTCATTGCACAGATTTTCCTGTGTTCTCCTCCCAACAACCCTAGGAAGTAGGTACTATTATCCGTCCCATCTTACAGTGAGAAAACCAGGGTTTGGGCCCAGCAAGGTTAGCAAGGCTGGACCCAGGACGGGACCAGCAGTCGGACCAGGCTGTTTGTATTTTACTGTTAGCCCAAACCACAGGAGCTCCCTAAAAGAAGGCAGGGTCAGATTCATCTTATTGATTGATTGACTGGAGATAGGGTTACCTTTATTTTTAACAGCTTTATTGGGGGTATAATTGATAAACAATAAACACATTTAAATGTACAACTTGATGGGTTTTGACATATACACCCATAAAACCGTCACCCCAAATAGGATAAAGAGCATATCTATCACCCCCAGTGTCTCCTGATCCCATTTCTAACCCCTCCCTCCTGCCCACACCCTGTCCCAGGCAGCCGCTGATCTGCTTACTGTCACTAGAGGTTAATTTGCCTTTGCTGGGGAGTCTTACATAAATGGAATGATACAGGATGTGGGGTTTTTGAAGGGGGGGTGTCTGGCTTCTTTCACTCAGCATAACGACTCTGAGACTCGGCCGCGTTGCTGTCTGTATCAGTGGTTCACTCCTCTCTGCTGTGAGTGACATTCCATAGGATGCACAGAGCACGGGCCGTTTCCCCATCACCCACTGACTAGCAGGCAGTTTTGCCCGTTACAAAGGAAGCTGCTCTGAATGCCTGTGTGTGGACATACGCTTTCCTTTCTCCTGCAGAAATACGTAAGGAGTGGAGTGGCTGTATCACAGGGGAGGTGTATGTTTACATTTTAAGAAACAGCCAAACTGTTTTCCAAAGTGATGGCACCACTGATATTCCCACCAGCAGTGCGTGAGAGTGCTGGTTGCCGTGCACCCTCTCTGCTCAGTCTTTTTTAACCTTAGCCTTTCTAATCGGTGGGTAGGAATGTCTCATTGGGGTTTTAATTTGTGGTCCCAAACCATCTGACTGAGTTCGCATTTGTAATTTAGGACGCCCTTACTAAGCTCCGGGACTCTGTGCTAAGCACTTCCCAAGCTCCTCCTCTAAGGCTATCAGCGTGCTCAGGGCAGGCCTGTTGGCAGGTGCTCATAAATATTTATGAATGCATAGATAAATCTGGAAAATATAAATAACACCTACCCCCACTGGCACTCAGTAGGTACTCGATAATTGTTAGTTCAGGAAAGGAAAACATGTGGAACCAGAACAAGCATCTCTCTGGCTTATTGTCCTTGATATACACAAGCTCCGGTTCAGGGGAACTTGATACAGGCGGGAGTTGGGCGGAAGCACAGACTGTGAGACTCCACAATCAGAGCCTTCCTTCAGGCCAGGGGTTGGGGGCAGAGCGAGCCCAGGACTGGGTCCAGGGAACACGGGTTCTGGTGCAGGCTCTGCCACCAACCAGCTCCCAAACATCAGTCTCCTTGTTGGTCAAGTGGGAGCAATAGTTGCCGCCTGACTTCCATCCTCTCTGTGATGGATGGGCTTTAAATTGAAGGTTGTCACGAAGGAAAAGGGCCCATCCGATTCATCTTGTGACTTTTTGTTTTTTCTTTTTTTTTTTTTTAGGAAGATTAGCCCTGAGCTAACATCTGCCGTCAATCCTTCTCTTTTTGCTGAGGAAGACTGGCCCTGAGCTAACATCCATGCCCATCTTCCTCTACTTTATACATGGGACGCCTGCCACAGCATGGCTTGCCAAGCAGTGCCATGTCTGCACCTGGGATCTGAACTGGCGAATCCCGGGCTGCCGAAGCAGAACGTGCGAACTTAACCGCTGAGCCACCGGGCTGGTCCTCGGGACGTTTTCTAACAGAATCACTGTCAGTAAGGGAAATACACGCTGGCGAGAAGGCCTGCTCTCTCCAGTGTAAAGACTGTAATGATCATCTTCTGTTCTGGCCACCTAAAGGCTAATCGTACCACGTGACCGTGCTACCACGGATAATAGCCGTGGGCTGGAATAATGATTGTGGGCTGGCAGAGCCTGATGGAGTAAATGCTACATTGTTCCAAGCTACAGTTCTAGGTTTTGTGTGTTTACAATTCAAATGCTTTGGAAACAAATATCCTCCAAGGTAGGTGCTATTATTATCTCCGTATTATAGATAAGGAAACAGCACAGAGATGTTCAGTAACTTTCCCCAGAGCACACAGAGCTGGGAGTGAAACCAAGACAACTTGGCTCCAGGGGCTTCCCCTTAACCACTGCACCTTACCTGGAGACAAGTGGTCAGCAGCACCCCCGGCAGCATGTTAGGGTCGGCTGGAGAGCCAAAGGTGTGAGTGAAGTAACAGCTGCGGCAGGATGGCGGGTGGAGGACTGTGAAGAGGATGGTGCCGTCCTGTGAAGCTCAACCTGATGCTTCAGACACCCAGCAGGGCAAGGGTTTGCACTGGGGCCAGGCCTGCGGCTCTATCTGCCGAGCCGTGGTTTGCCATCCACCCCCTTGCACCTGCAGCCCTTGGTACACAGCACCGACCAGCATGGCGCATGCAGCAACATGACCATTGCTGATGCGTCTGTCTTTCCATCAGACTGTCGCCTTCAAGGGCGGAGGCCACCTCTCACCTGCTCTGTGTCCCCAGGCCTGGAGCACAGCTGGTCTGGAGGAGGGTTCCTTAATGAGCACAGTCCCAACGTTCTTGGAAACGCAGGGCTGGCCCTCGAGGGGCCAGGCCAGGGTAGCAAGTTTTTGGCATCACCCCCAGATTGGAAACTAGCTCCAGATCTCAGGCTGTAGGGCTAGGCCTCACGGGATGCTGGGACATCCCAAGGAGCCAGGGAAAGGTCCTAGGGAAATCTTCCTGAGCCTCAGCTTGTCACGATTGGACCACTTCTCAGGAATCCTCTTATCTAGCTGTGCCATTTTATAGCTGGGGAGACGGAGGCTTAGAGAAGGAAAGAGAGCCACCCAAGACCTTGCCGCAGCTCAGACGCAGAGCCACGGCCAGGACTCGTCTTGGTCTAAAAACATCCTGTGCCTCTGAGGGAGATTATCACATTTCTTCAGAATGACCCAGAGATAAAGGAACAGTCAGCTCTCATATTGACAGACAATTTTCAACAAGGGGGCCGAGACAACTCAACGGGAAAAGAAGAGTCTTTTCAACACATGGTGCTGGGGACAACTGGATATCCACACGCAAAAGAATGTACACCCCTTCCTCTCACCATGTACAAAAACTAACTCAAAATAGAGCAAAGACCAAATCATAAGAGCCAAAACTATAAAATTCTTAGAAGAAAACATAGGCATAAATCTCCCTGACCCTGGATTATGCGATGATTTCATAGACGTGACATCAAAAGCAAAAGCAAAAAAAGATAATCTGGACTCCATCAAAATTACAAACGTTTGTATTTCAAAGGACACCATAAAGAAAGTAAAAAGACAACCCACAGAATGGGAGAAAAATTTTGCAAATCATTTATCTGATAAGGGACTTGTGTCTAGAAAGACAAAAAACCAATTATAAAATAGGCAAAAGATCTGAATAGGCATTTCTTCAAAGAAAATGTACCTACAAATGGCCAAAAGGCGCATGAAAAGATGCTCAGCATCATCAGTCATCAGGGAAATGCAGATTAAAACCAAAATGAGACACCACTGCACACCCACTAGAATGGCTATAATCAAAAAGACAGACAATAACAAAGTATTGGTGAAGACGTGGAGAAAGTGGAACCTTCATATGCTGCTGGTGACAATATAAAATGGTGCAGCCTCTTTGGAAAACAGTCTGGCACGTCCTCAAATGATTAAACACAGAGTTACCACACGACCCAGCAATTCCACGTCTAGGTATATACGCAAGAGAAATGAATACATGTGTCCACGCAAAAACTCGTACACACGTGTACATAAGAGCCAAAAAAGTTGAAACAACCCAAATGCCCATCAACTTACAAATAGATAAATAAAACGTATTGTATGGATATCGTGGAATATTATTTAGCAATAAAAAGGAATGAAGTAATGATGAACGCTACAACAAAAGGAACCTTGAAAACATGCTCAGGGAAAGAAGGCAATCACAAATGACCACATACTGTGATTCCACTTATATGAAAAGCACAGAACAGGCAAATCTATAGCGACAGAAAGTAGATTAGTGTTGCCTAGGGCTGGGCGGGTGGGAAGATTGGGGGCTGTATGGGTTTCTTTTGGGGGTAATAAAAATGTTCTAAAAATGATTGTAGTGATGGTTGCACAACTCTGTGAATACATGAAAAGGCATGGAGTTGTACACTTTAAATGGGTGAATTGTATGCTATGTGAATTATATCTCAATAAAGCTGTTTTTAAAAAGAGAAACAATCAGAATCCCAAAACTAAGAGGGCCATTCAAATTGACCTAGTTTAACCAACCATCTGTGCTTGAATTTCCTTAAAAATATACCTACCAAAAGGCTTCCAAGACTCTTGCACACCTCCAGTGATGGGTGGCTCACTACCTACCCTAGGCAGCCTACTCTGTTGTCACAGAGCTCAGGTAAGAAGGAAATTCTTCCTTCCATGGAGCCAAACCCTGGACCTTGTCAACGGTGTACTGATGTACATGGAGCTAAGGGACTGCCTGAGGTCTTCTTGAAAATGGCAGAGTACCTTCCAGTCACTGAGCATTAGGCATTAGGTGCCGGTCCCTGTGCTCCTCCCTCTCCGGGCGTCATTACTTCACTCGATCCTTAAGGCAACTTTGAAGGTTGTCATCACCGTCCCCACTGCAGAGATATGGAAACTGAGGCTCAGAGAGGGGAAATAACTTGACTTTAAAATCTCAGAACCGGTCACTGTTATTGCCCAGTAGGCAGAGCTGGGGTTTGAACCCGGGTCTCTTGGACTCCAGAGCTGTGGCTGACCCAGCCCCTTCAACCAGGCTGCTTCTGAGAGCCCCACACCCTCACAGCGTCCAAATGGGTCTCACTGGCATTATATGAACAAACGGCATGAAATTTTCAAATCAAACAATGAAACCAACAGAAAGCAAACTCTGTCTCCCAAAAGAGGGGCTGCAAGTAGCGCGATGGGATGGGGGCAGCGCCGGCCTGGGAGCAGGAGGCATGGCCTCAGGGATGGCATCACTGTGGGAAGCAGGCCGACCCTGGGCAGCCTCAGAGGAAGCTAGGCTGAGGGAGGCCCTCAGAAGCGTTCACACGGCCTTGGGCAGCAGGGTCTCAACTCAAGGAGGCATCGTCTGGCATCTGAAATTCCTGTGAGGAACAGACCCTCTCCCGTGAGAAGCTACTCGATTCAGTGCAACAGCGTTGGCTGAGTTAACAATAAAAATATCTTCTCTACGTGAGAGGCAGGTCTTAATATTCACTTCCATTCTACAGATGAGGACACTCAGACCAGTGTCATGGCTGCCCAAGGTCCCAGAGCAGGCAGTTGGGAGACAAGGGGTCAAATCTCAGACCATTTGACTTCATCACGCAGATGTGCCCAAAGTAGGGCCAGGCGGGGGCCTGAGGGCCTCACAGCTCCCAGTCTGCGTCACCATGAGCGCTCAGTGAGGCTGTTATGGCCGCTCGATGGAGAGGAACGCAAGCAGCTCTGGAGCCTGGAGAGGGGAGTGAGGATGCTGATGAGGGGACCCCAGGGGGGGCTCACGGAGGAGGGGACACCCTGGCTGAGATGTGGAGGAGGAGCAGGGTCTGGATAAGATGAGAAGTGAGAAAGGGCATGCCAAGTGGATGGACCCACATGAGCAAAAGCTGGGAGGTGGGAAAACGGGAGGCCAAGTTCCGGTGGCAGGGTGGGCTTGGGAACTAACGGGAGACGGAAGGAAGCAGGGTTGGAGAGAGGCAGGCTGGGGGACCTGCACAGCACCGGATTCAAAGGGGCCACCGGCTTTAGTCTGTGGGCAATAGGGAGCCAGTGAGGGTCTGTGAGCAAGGGAAAGACATGCTCTGGTCAGTGACAGACGCACAAGCAGCCGGGGCAGCATCTGACCAACCATCTGGAAACAACCCTGCACCAAGCAGGCTCCTTGCAACACGTCACCTTAGGTCGCAAGCTAGGAAACACCTTGCAAATCTCCATTTAACCCTAAGGCATCCTTCGTTTGGAAACCTGCTCTTCAAAAAAAAAGCCAAGTGTTCAAGTCACAGGATTCTTTCTCAACAACTGAGTGACGCGCAGGCATCTGATGTGCTGTCCAGAGCAGCCTCCAGCCTCCCCGCGGTGTCTGCGCTCAAAGCTCGTCCTCACGGTCCTCTCCCGGCAAAGCACCGGCCGCATACCATAGCCAGAGTTATCCGGTGGGTGACATGGGTCCTGCCTGCTGCTACTCTGTCCCCGTCCTGGGCTCATCTGTGACCCTGTGATTGCCCTGGATGGGTGTCAAGGTCACCATGGGTCTTGATCTTTGGATGCCAAAGAAGGTTCCTGTGGGTTGGGGAAAATGTCACCAAAAGTTCCTACATGTGAGGCCACCTGCTGTGCACAGGCGCAGGGCAGATGCTGTACACCCATTACCCACCAAGCACCGAGGCAGGGCTGACGGCGCCACCTTGCAGATGGGGAAACTGAGGCTCAGAGGGGCCATCTTGCCTGGCCAGGTCAGACAGCTACTGGGGCGCAGAGCCGGGAGCAGGCCCAGGCCCGTCTGGCTGCAGCGCCTGTGCCATGCTGCAAAATGGTCAGCAGAAGGAGGAAGTGAGTCAGGAAGGCAAAAGAAGGGGGGGTGGGTTCCTTTTTGAGTCAGAACAGGATTTCCCATCACACACCTGCAGAGGCAGGCGGGGAGGGGCGTGAACCCCAGCGGCCTAGACTGACAAGGTGCCCAGCCCAAGCCAGCCCCTCCGTAGAAAGTGAGCTGGAGGTGGGGACGAGCCCAAGGGGCCTGCAGGGCTTGGGGTTACTGCTGATGGGCCTGGCGATGCCTCCCCAGGAGGCCTCTCGGGGACACGGCTCGAAATGAATCAGGCCAGACAGGGATACCAATCCCAGCTGCGGGGGCCTTAGGCTGGGGATCCCGGGAACTGACAGCTAAGACAAACCCACTCCCTCCTCCTACTCCCCCTTGGGCCTTCTCAGTCCACCCAGTGAGGCCGGTAAAGATGAAGGGCGTGTCCTCAAAGGACCCCGAGTGAGCAGGCAGAGCTGGGCTGGGCTCGTCTCATCCTCTAACGCAGAATCGCCCCAGGCCTGACTTCCCTCTGGTCCAAGCTTGGGGGACGCTTGACCATCCTTTAATGATGAATCTTGTCTCAACACCCACCCTGCAGCAGACGCTGTGGTTGCTGCCGAAGATCATGGAGAGGAACAAACTGACCAGGTGGCGCACTCCTGGGTGGCCTGACGGCTCAGTCTCCCTCTTCCCCTCTGGAAGATGGGCACAGCGGTCAGAGTCCTCTCAACACTCACGGGCTGCCTCCCAGCCCCGAGTCTCTGAGACACAGCATTTCTCGACCTGAGACCTTCCAGAATCCACCAGCTCACAGATGCCCTGTGGGAAGCGCTCACTAAATCCACTTTTCAAAATGGCTGTGGACCAGAGCCTCCTCCGACACAGTGCGGGGGCCCCTGGATGGGCTGAGAGGGCCCCATGAGCCCCCTGAAATCTTAGGCAGTGCTTGTTCTCCCGCTGAGCTGTGCAGGTCCCATCAGCTTCCCGAAGGCCCCCTGACTCCGGGAGGACTGAAAACAAGCTTGCCGCATGCAGGCGCTGGTGGTAATCATTAACATGTGTCATCGAGAATGACTCAGAATATCCATCCATGGGGCGGATGTCACAAACTTCCTTAATCATTTCCATTTTGCTGGACAGTTATGTTGCATGTTTTATTGTTGTTTTTCTCAGTGCAACTAGAACATTTGCTAATTGATCATTTATTTAACAGTTGAGCAAGCCCTGACCCCTCTGGCCACAAAGCGAAGCCCCGATCTCCTCTGGTATTATTACACCCAAACGGCATTTTTCTGACCAGGACACATCATTGCTCTCTTCAGCATCAGCGGTGGCCTTCTTTTCAGGGCCATCTTCCATAAAGAAACAAAGTCTGTGGTCATGTGGCCCTAGATGCCTGGCTTGTAACAAGGAAGACCAGAGAAAAACCAAACCAGGGTGACATGGGTGGCTAGGTGGGGCCGGGCAGGGTGGGGCTCCCTCCTGCTGAGTCACTGCCCTGGACCCCCCGCCCTCACACACAGGCACAAACCCTGCCTCTTCTGGGACGCCTCCTAACAGCTGCCGAGACTCCGGAGCCAGCCTCCCTCGGAGATTCAGACCGAACTTCGCTGCAGAAACACTATACGGCCTCAGCCGAGGGGACTTAACTCCTCTGACTTCACTTTCCCATCTGTAAAATGGGGGTAATAATAATGTGACCTCGTCGCTGATCTGAGGATTAAGTGAGTTATATTGGTAAAGTCCTCAGAACAGCGCCGGTAAGCAGTAGGCCTTAGATAAGTGTTTTAAAGACATCATAAATTTGCATTGCGACAGTTGTATGGAGGAAGGAAAAATGCAATGTAACAGTCCAGCAAAAAAGGAAAGGGTTAAGAAAAGTTTGTGATATCCATTCCGTGGAATATTCTGGGCCGTTGACAATGAGAAGTGTGACGGTTGACACCACAGAAGGATGCTGCGGCCAAAGAGAAGGAGCAGGCGGCACAGCTCTGTGCTCTGGACCAGGGGCCGGCGGACTTCTCCTGGAAAGGATCGGAGAGTAAGGAATTGGAGTTTCGCAAGCCATATGGTCTCTGTCACAACTACTCAGATCTGCAGCCAGAGTGTGAAAACAGTCACAGACAACGTGTAAATGACGCGCGTGGCTGCGTTCCAGGGACTTTGTTTACACAAACATTTGGCTGGTGGGCTGCAGTTTGCCAACCCTGCTGTGCAAATTATGCAAAAACTGTGTCAAAAAAGATGAAGATTGAAAGGAATGTGGAAAAAAGTAAAGAGTTCTTTCAGAGCACTGGAATCATAGGTACATTTTCAAAATTTCCATTTCGTTAAGGGCGTAGTCACAGTTTTTTAAAAATTAAAGGACTTAAGTTACATACATTCTAATAACAAATTAAGAGATTTCACGATTCTATTAGATGTTCAAAATAAGTGCAAATGAGTATTCAGCCCAGCATTCATATTATGCTGTACAGAAAAGGTGGAGACTTTGAAGCATGGCCAATCTGGGACTGAACCTGGCTTCTCCACCTACTAGCTGTGTGACCTTGGGCAAGTTTATTAACCTCTCTGTTCCTCTGTTTCCTTGTTTGTAAAGTGAGGATAACAATGGCACCAAGAGGCATACAAAGGCTTAGCAATGAGCCTGGGGCCCGGTAGGCACTCAATGCAAAGAAGCCACCTCAGCCCCACACGGACCCACACAGGCCAGATCCTGCTGACCTCGGGCCCATGCTGTCACCAGGAACAAGGCCGACCTGGAGGCCAGCACGCTTTGCTTTCCAGCTAAGAAAACTGCCCTCGCGGGGTTTCAGGGTTGGTTTGTAAAATGACAGAACAGCTCGAACCTCACTCCTCAATTACTCAGGCACTCCTGCGGCGGGAAGGACAGCCCGGAAGGCGGGGGCATGCCACAGGGAGTTCCGGGAGGGCGGGAGTTCCCGGGGCTGTGCCCGCTGAACTCCTGGGAGACTCATGCCCCGTGGAGCCACCCCACGCCCGGCTCCGCAGGCTTGGGGCCAGGGTACTTCGACTCCTTCCCCAGGACATCTGCCAGTGCGGCTGGAGGCAGAGGACCAGAGACCATCCTTCCGGCAGAGAGGGGCACTGAAGGGCTCGGGGTCACGGGCCTCTCTGACTTAAACCTCCGGTGCTCCACAGCCCCCTGAGAAAGCCCATGATGGAGACGGGTGAAGCCCTTTTCATCCATCTCTGCAGCCTCACCTCCCACCACCTCCCACCCCCTCTCCCTGCAGCACAAGCTCCCAGGGGCTTTTCCCCTCCATGCTCTTCTTTGCCTGGCTACATTCACCCATGAGCTCTGGCATCACTGAATCCAGGAAGCCCTCCAGAATTTTTCAGGGGTTAGAGGGCTGGGAACTAACATTGCTAAGAACCTACCAGGTGTCAGGCACTGTGTTAGTTGTTCACATGCATCAGCTCATTGCGGTCTCCTACACACTGTTAAGTAGGAATGATTGTCTTCTTTTTTTAGACAAAGAAATCAAGGGTCAGAGTGGTTAAGTAACCTGCCCAAGGTCACACAGCAAGTAATTCTGCTGCCTCGTTCTCCCCAACAGTCCCTTAGCGAGCCCAAGAGGTTTAAAGTCATCCCCATTCTGCTGGAGCTGCAAGGTGATGTCCACCGAGCTTTAAGGAGTCCGTCCTCTGTCCTGCTACCCCCTGCCTTATATCTGGACTCCTGAGCACCCCTGAGACCTCCCCCTGGCAACCTTCATTTCCCTGGCGTCCAAGGTCGATGGGTGGCAGGCCCTGAGGATATAATTAGCACATGCCTGTTCCTGCCAGGGCTTCGGGGCGCCAGGCTTACCATGTGTCCCTGTGGAGCCAAGGGCACCCGGCCTGGGGACTCTCTTTTGTTCCTCTGCTCTCTGGGGTCGCAGCATGAGGGTGTTACCAGCAGGGGTGAGCGACTCCCCTGTGGACCCAGAGGTGCAGCCTGAACCCCCCAGGCTCCAGCGCCAGGGGCTGCCCGCAGGAGGCAGCAGGGAGAAGCCGCCCCCGGGCTCTGGGGAGCAGGCGTCCTGAGCACGGGGCGCTTGGCCCTGGCAGACTTGGCCGTGTCCTCCCTCCCAGGGGGGCCAGTGTCTGGGGCTGAGCTCTCTGTCAGTCGCAGTGGACAATACCTCAGAGTGTGGGCAGTGCTTGGAAGCTGACTAAGCCTGTCCCCCTCAGTATCCTCTCTCCCTGACGCCCCCCAACCAGGACTGGGATGCAGTTTAATCCCTTTCCCCCTTGGGAACCTGGGCTCCTGGGTTCTCCCCAAACGTCCCTGACAGAGCCCACGGCCCTGTCTGCTGCTGCCCCGGCGCGGTCACCCACCCGGCTAGGGGAGGGGGCGGTCAGCAGGAGAGCTCCCCAGCCAGTGGGGGGCAGACACATACTTGGCGTCCCCGCCAGGCACAAAACGCCATCTGACTTTCTGAAATGCGTTTTCTCCCTCCTCTCGCACAATGCTGGTGTGAATGGATGGCCTTGAAGGGACTGATGGCCCCAGGCTTTGCATGAAAGGCAAAGGCCAGCATCCGGGAGTTGACCAGGGGGCTGCCCCCACCCAGGGGAGGCACATTCTCTCTGCCTCCATCAGAAGGGCGCCAATGTACTGGGCCGAGGTCATTTCCCCTCAGGGAGCTACAGCCTCCGCCCCGGCCTGCAGCAACGGCAGGGGTGGGGACGCATCTTCTCCTTCACATTTTCTTCAGAGCATACGGGACCTTCTGATGTAGTCTTGTTTACTTATTGCTTGCTAGTTGAATCTAGATGGTTCTAGATCCTTCTAGAATGTAAGTTCCATTGGAACAAAGACTTTGCCAGTTATTTTCACTACTCCTATCCCACCGGCCCGGACAGTGCCTGGCACACAGTTGGCCCTCAGCAGGGAGCTGGTGAGGGAATGAATGAATGAATCTCTGCTCTGTGTGTTCAGTACCATTCATTCCCTGAAGAAAACTTTACAGGGTCTCTAGGCGCCGCGTAGAGAGGAGAAAATACTAAGCTGGGGACCTTCTCTTGAGGAGCTCCGTGTGGGGGGAAAGATGCACCAACCAAGACGCCCAGCTAGGGAACTGAGTTCAGTTCAGAGGGGACACGCCGGGGGTGGGGGACACACCGCCTGTGGAGAGGGATGGTGGGGAGAGGAGCCAAGAGGAGGTGACCACGGGAGGGAAGGGCATGGGGAGAGGGAACAGCATGTGCAAACTGGCAAAACGTGAGTTAGCATCAGAGCGATTCGTCTCCAGTGTGGAGGAGATGAAGGTGGAGACCCTCAGCCCCTCGTTCACTCATCCCACAGGTTTACCAAACACTCTGTGCTCGGGGACAGGCAGGGGTGGCCCGAGGACAGTGTGGGTTCTGCCTTCTGTGCTCACAGACCTGGGGACGGCAAGAGTCAGTGATTCCTCGTGCACAGGGCTCTGGGAGCACGGAGGAAGGGCAGTCAAGTCTGAGAGGCACTGAGGCTCGGGGCAGAGACAACCCCTCTTACACTGTCCACCCATGACCCAGAGGGCTCAATGCCACTGTCAGGGTGGCATGACTCTGACTGACCTAGTTTGCCCGGGACTTTCCCAGTTTTAGCCCTGAAAGTCCCATGTCTCAGGAAACCCCTCAGTCTCAGACAAATCGTCAACAGCTGGTCACACCTACTTCCACCTTCATGTCCCCTCCCAGGGCCCCACCCCACTCGCCCTCTCAGCCACTCACGGGGGCGCTGGGCTTCCAGCAGCCTGGGTCCAGAGCAGCTTTTCCTCAGGTAACCCGGAGGGAGATGCTCCAGCTTGCAGACAGGGCAGCAGATGGTGAGTAACACCTGTGTGTCCTCGCTCCTCTGCTCCAGCCTTCAGCCAGGCGCCAGGGCTGCAGGAGGCACTGGCCAGGCGCCCTTCCCCGGCTGCGCTGGGAATCGCAGCTGCTCAGGCTCTCTGATCCTGTCCCTGTTCCCCTGGTCTGAGCTTTATCTCCTGAGGCCTCTGAGGCCAGCTTCCTCCCCAGCCTCCTTTGTGCATTCAGAGAAAGGCCCATTGTAGGTGCTCAGGCCACAGGCAACCAATTCTGACACTGATGTCTCCATTTCACAGAAGGGAAAACCAAGGCATAGAATCGGTCAGGAGCTCACCTCTGGTATTTGGTTCCCAAGACCCTGATTATTCCATTTGTCAAAAGCAGCCACCCTGAATCCTGTCTTCTAGAACCTTCTAGAGCCTTCCCCACTAGCCCTGCAGGGACTCACACACCAAAGAGGCTCTCTCCCTAGGGGACTCAGAAAGACTTAAAGTCTTCCCCAGATGCCTGTTTCCAGGCTGGGGCTTCTAAACCAGAGCCCCATGCAGAGAAATAGGGCTCCCCCTAAGACACTCACAGCAAACCCTCAGCCGGGCCCCTCTCCAAGCTGCTGGAGGTCTGTGAGGCCCCCAAACAACGCTGGCCCCCCAGGAATTTGAGGCCCGGCATGGAGGTGTTGCAAGAGCTGACTCTAACAGGAAAGATCCTGACGATTGAATTAATCCCCTCGGCAAGCACCTGGATACACCAGGTTTGATCTCCCCTCGGGTCTCCTGCAAAGGCATCGCACGGAAAGAGCTGGGTCTTTCGACTCACCCAGTCTTCTGGCTCCACCGTTTATTATTAGCTGGTGATCTTGGACAAGCTCTGTAACTTCTCTGGGCCTCCTTCTCTCTAAAGTGCCAAGTCAGATCTACTATGCAGAGTTGCTGAGTAAAGGGAGAATGCATTTCCATCCATCTTAGCTCTTGAACGCTTCATAGAGGGGAGAGGAAACAGCTAACCTTCCCAGAGAGCAGAGCGCGCTGTGTACCAGGTCTGTGCTAAGCCTCACGCTGATTTTTTGACTGAGTGGTAGATCCACTACCCTTGCCTCCACAGATGAAAGAATTGAGGCTCAGAGAGGCTAAGCCACCTGCCCAGGGTGCCACAGCCAGCATAAGACAAGTTTTCTCCCTCCAATTTCCTTCCCTCTTCACCACTAGACTATTAATATTTGCTGAATGAATCAACTAATTAATTAACGCTAGGTTCTATTTTGACCAGAAGACACAAGATTCAGACCTGTTTCAGAAAGACGTGTTCAAGAGCTGAAATTATTAGAACAGTGAGTTACTCAAGTCTCTAAGGTGGCCCACCCTCCACTGCGGAGGGGGCTTCTAGAACAGGGGGCTGCAGACCGTGGCCCACTGCTTGTTTTGGCACAGCTCTCCAGGTAACAATGAGTTTTACATTTTTAAATGGTTGGAAAAAAAATCAAATGAAGAGTGATATTTCGTGACCGGTGAAAATTACATGAAATTCAAATTCCAGTGTTCATAAATAAAGTTTTCTTGGAACACAGCCACACCCATTCATTTACATAGTGTCTATGGCTGCTTTCTAGATACAATGAAAGAACTGAATAATTGCAACAGAGACTGTGTGGCCCATAAAGCCCGAAAAATTTATTCTCTGTCCCTTTACAGAAAAAGTTTGCCAACCTCTGTTCTAGAGGCTCCAGAGACTGAGGCTATTAATCGGCTTAGGAAAAATACCTCATTCCAAACCTGCCTGTCAGCCCAGCATTCCTCCAGGTCTGGGAATCTAGAAGATTCCATACTATTCCTTTCAGCAAATAGTATGCCACCCCTGATATCCAGAATGGGGCCTGATCAAAGTTTTCCAAATGCTGAGAGTTGTGCCTTCATGAAGGTTCTCCTTCTTTAGTTTCCCTGACTTATAGACATTTAGGTGGTATGCTTGCTGTTAAGGTGAAGGATGCTCTGTCGGAGCCACCCACCCATGCCCTCTGAGACAGCATCTGAATCACGGCTGGACCCTGGATCGGGTTCCACCCTTGCCAGGGGGCCACAATATGATTCCTTAGTTAAAAGACATGTCCAGTTAAAAGACAACAGGAGCCTCATGCACCACTCAGAAAGAAGACGCACCTGCCAACTCTCCAGTGAAACAGGTCCGTGCCACTGGACGCGAGCAGAAAAAGCCAGGCAGGGCCAGGCAGGGTCTGTTCCCTGAAGTTCTGGTTCTGTTTCCCTCCCTTCTGGAGACTTTAAGGTCTGGGGGCAGGGAGCGGGGGCCCTTCTCCATCTGAGAAGTCAGGCCTGGGACCAGCACTGCTGGGTGCTGCCCTGGGACAGCGGGCTCCTCCATGGCTCGGTTCGCCCATGTGCCAATGGGGCTGCCAGGGCCCTGCGGACGCTGAGGTCCTGATGTTGCA